TCCGCATTCAAGTATTTACGATTGCTGTAGCATTTCTGTCATAAAGAAATAGCTAAATATTCAAGATTAAGTGGACATTTGAATTAAATGTTTAGCCATACAAGGATTAGATTGCACAGTGACATGTAGAAACAATTGTCGGGCCATTGGTGCCCTTTGTAGGCTTTTGGTATAATGTGTATGTACATTATATTGTTTATAATGCATTATGTTAAGTTTTGTTCAACAGAACCATATGGTTACTTGCTTTTGATACTTTATTTGGACCAATTATGGCCTCTTTTTTTTTCTTTTTTTTTTTGCAACGAATTTACCCATTAAAAAAAAAATTTATTTGGCAACTTTTAGTATCTGTAAAAAGTTATTAGATGTTAAAGACGTGCATTTTCCTCTTAACCACCCAAAGAAGAAAGTATTGAAAAGCTAGCCAAGCGGCAAGTCGGCTAGAGACTTGGAGAGAGGTGCCTAGCAATACTCACGTCACATGTGAATTAGGTTGCTAGTTACATCTTTTTCATCCGTTTATCTGAGTGAAATGTGTAGTTTAAAATACAGGTAAAAATGCTAGCGAAAATTAATTCAGAAAATCTGAGTAATTTATTTGTGTATTCTACGCAGTTTGCGTCATGGTTACAAAATGACATCAACATCCTTTTGTCACAAGGTCGTTTCACAACTTTTAGCAACAAAACGACCTGCCTTTTAGCGACTTTACCTAAAAATTAATTTGCAACACGGCTTGCGTCGCTAGAGGAAGCGGCCTCGCGCTAGCGTCTGCTGGTGGCCCGGCTGCCTACGACGCTGCGGCCGGAAGAGCCGCGGTGAAAGGTTGAGCCGAAGCGGGAAGCAAGTGAGGCTTTGCTGCGCTGAGATCTGGGGCGCGGCCCATGCTCGTTGGTGGCCTGCCGCTGCGACCCAGTGCTTAAGGAGAGCCGGGTCTTGTGCGGGGCGATGGTGGTGTCGAGCAAGGTGAGTTCGGGGCCTTGCGAACTTTGCTCGAAATATTGGCCGCTCTGCTGGAGTAGATTTGGGAGTGAGGTTGTCTGATTGCTGGGAGACGAATAACTTGGATAGTACAGATCCGCTTTGTTTACGTTACCCTTCACGAGGACGGTGCGTCGGAATTAATCAGTGTTTGCCTCAAGCTTAAATGCGGTCCACTTTCCGATTGGAGGAATTGTAGGCTCAGCCGAAAGATAAGAGGATGCCAGGGAAAAAATTGGAAGTGACGCCGGTAGAGGCCTCTGCGTCGTGGAGAGCGTGTGGCTGGTCGAGCAGAGAGCAGCGGCCGCGATGAAGCCTGGAGCTCGGCGGCGGTGTCTGGGGGAGAAGGAGCAATCCTGGGTCCGGCAGATTGGCCGGAGAACCAAAAAATCCCCAGTATAGGTCTCGTCGTTTAGATGGGAGAAGCTGAGTCTGAGATATAATGGCAAAAGGTGCAAACCGAATGCTGATAAACCGTCAATGGATAGAGGTAAGTCAGCTGTATTTATATAATGGTGTTGATTAACTTGAGTGTGCTCCACCTGTGTTAATTAGGCTAAGTATCTGACGCGCTCCTCCACAACCTTGTTAATAAAACATCATATATATTTATATATAGTGACTGTGCCCATGGACTGTACCCTTTGGACTGTATCTGCTGAATAAATCTGATAATCTGAAGTATGACTCAGACTGGTAGAATCATACCCTCATACTATAAAACCTCTGTTTCTTTGACTGCTCTCTAATACACACATCTGTCTCTTTATCAGTAATATGACAAATGGACAGTTCTTAACATGCCACGTAATGACAAGGGGCTGATGTTAAAACTGACTCACTGGTTACTAATTTACAAATGACAAATACTTTGCCACTTATCCTTATAGTGTTATAGTGTTATTGTGTTACAGTCAGATCCGCTGCTGACGGTGTTATTAATCATTGCGTTGTTGCTCAGGCAACTAACAGCAAACCTTGAGCAAACATGACATGTTGACACCTGTAAACAGATATTTACATGCATTGTGCTTTCCATCAGACTGAGAGTTCCTGAATGTTTTACTCTTTTCAAAAACTGACCGATGTGCTAAATTCCACCTTGTGATAAAATCAACACCTCTCTTTCATGACGGGTATAAAACAAGCAAGGGCTGAGTCTCAACATGGGGCAGCCTGCCCGAGCTCAGCATTGGCAATGAGTTTGGCAAAGCACCAGTTTTGGGTTGTTCTGACCACTATCCAAATTGAGGTGAATCCAAGCATAACAGAAAATTCATGCTGGGGTAAAAAAGCATCTGGCAGTTGAAATTTTAACAGCCAGATCTGTTTTTTTCCATTATAGACATAAGTTTTTTGGGGGAAGTCTGCAGGTCCAGGTATTGTCTGTGTTATGATACACTGAAATTGCATGTTTAAATGTTACATTTAAAAACAATTAAATTGTAAAGGACGTACACAATAACTCATCTTAAAAAAGCTGCTGTGTCCATGGAAATGGAGAAGAAAACAAGTCCTCTGCAATTTTGGCTCTCATAATTAATGTAATGATCTTGTTCAGATTTTTTTTTATCTTTGTAATGGCTTATGATTAGATAGAAAATAATAAAATATATCCTGATGAAGGCTCTAGTTTCTCAAGCTACATATGACAATGTGCAGGACTTTTTATTTATATTTTTATGGTGTGTGTGTGTGTATATATATATATATATATATATATATATATATTCTGTATATATATGTTTTTTTTCTCTCCTGAGCAAATCTCACATGTGAGAGTTACAAGAGTAAAAAGTTCAAATTACATTACTGTTCATAAATTTGAAGATTAAGTTTTTAAAATTAATACTTTTATTCAGCAGTGACACATTAATTTGGTCAAATGTGACAGTAAAGCCATAATATTATTATAATGTTACAAAGCATTTCTGTTTCAAATAAATGCTTTTCCTTTGAACTTCCTATTCTTCAAAAAGTGCTGTAAAAATGTATTCACAAAAGGTTTTCACAAAAATATTAAGCAGCACAACTGTTTTCAACATTGATAATTATAAGAGATGTTTTTGAGCACCAAATCAGTATATTATGATTTTTGAAGGGTCATGTGACACTGAAGACTTGGAGTAATTATTTTATGGAGCAAATAATAATCATAATAATAAAAACTGCAGTAATTAATAAATTATATAATGTAAAATACATTAAAATACAACACAGTAATTTCACAATATTACTTTTTTTATCAAATAAATGTAGCCTCTGAGAGCATTCTTCTCTGTCTGCATTTAATAATGATGCATATATGAATATTGATGCTTTTGCTATTTTTCTACAATGGCAAACCCATCAAGATGTATGCTATAGTGTGTGTGTTTCCTGCTTTTGAGCCGATAAGAATTTTATCCAGAGCATGTGGAATACCTAAGCAGAACTCTCTCCAACCCGAGGGCAGCGTTGAGAGAGTATTTTAGAGTGGAGAGGAGTGGGGAGATGAACATCAGGATGTGACAGGATAAGTGATCCATCTGCCTGCAGGATGTTGTCACTTAAGTCCAAGACCATCTGTTACTTTAGTTTGTGGCACTTTGGATTCAGTCCTTGTTGTGTGAACAGGAAGGACCGCAGAGTTCACTTCACCGCATGCTCTTAGAACAAACTAATACGGTTGGTTCTGGGTAGGGATTAAGAACCTATTCCTCGGGAAAATTAAAATATTTTTGATTTAAACCATCCAAATTTATATTCAAGAAAGACTGCTTTATCTTCCTCGTTGGCTTGAGAGTGGAAGAGTGTAGGAGGTTCATCCTGATTTAACAAAGCGTTAAACACCAAGGGCAAAGCTGTCAGATCCCTCAGATCTACAGACTGTCATGTCAATGAGATCTCTTTGAGCAAATGCTCTAGCTCTATTAAAAGTAGGTGTATAGTAACTTTCCAGTGCCAGAAAGCTCTTTCACCCCCTACAACGCCTTAGGTGAGAGCTTATAGTTGGCTTAAATTTACCACGCAGAGTTTTGTGAATTATGTCCGGAGCAAATGATAACTTCTGGCTTCCTTCTACCCTCAGCAGATGGAGTGAGGTCTGAACTCCACATATTCCATCACTCATGCGCCCTGAAGAAAGACGAAGGGCCATGCAAGGCAATAAAGGACAGGTTCTACTTTGACACTGACACAGGTCGTTGTGAGCTCTTTGAATACGGAGGCTGTCAAGGCAATGCAAACAATTTTGAGACCCTGCAGGAGTGTGAGGAAATGTGTCTTGTGAAAGGTAAGGCCATTTTTACCCGACTTGTGCTATTCTATGACAAACAAAAGTAAATACAAATATGACTGTTTTTTTTTTTCAGAAAATGATGGAACTTGTGTAAAATAACCTTTAGACTCAACACATCTTTCAGAATGAGGATGTGTCCTTTGTGTTAGTCAATTTCATTTTCTCTCAATATATTGGATGGCCTGACCCAGACTCATGTGTCATGACAGTATTCCATACACCTTTGCTACAAACAGCATTCCACATATGCTTATCTTGGGTAAAGTAAAGGCAAAGATTACTAATATAGTATTAAGCAATAAGTTATGAGAGACTGTGCTATATTGTGAACGAGTCGGCGCTAAGGAGCGTTTTTAGACTCAATGCACAGCAGTGTATTTACTCATAATATTGCACGGTCTTGAGGGCTTTATTGCTTTTATGAAACACCCACTACATAACTAAAATATTAGGGAAATTGTTTATTTTAATAAGGAAATTCATTAAGTACATCTACAATGAGTACCAAAAGTCTGAAAATACTAGTGAAAGTGCTTCTGTTTTGCATTTTTCCAACAGTGTTGTTATTGCTAACTAAAACTGAAACTTTAAAAAATTGTTTCTAGTAATTGAAATAGATTCAATTATTAAAAATGATTAAAATGTTTACTAAAATTAAAACTTAAAGTTAAACAATAAATGCTAATTCAAAATATTTCATTTATATATATATATATATATATATATATATATGCAACAATACAGTGTGAGATTAATAAACAAGGTCAGGGATCATTTAGGTTTGCTACTCCTATTTGCAGGACTCAACCAGCAGTGGAAATGTTCATACCGGTGAGTAAAATAGATTTAGTTTGCGTTTATTCTTTGAGAAGATACTGAGCAGGTTGTGTTGAATTGTAGGAGCTGTACCGCCGTGGCTACTTGAGGAGCCTA